ACTTAGGGTAAGCCTATCTTATTATATTATTATATATATAAAAATAGTAACCGGAAAAGGATTTTCCGTCTATTAAATCCGACGCCTAGCTAGAGTTAGTAAAACCCTTTATATATAGATAGGTAAAAGCGATATTATAATTATATTTAATCTTTAAGCTAGGGAATTTATTTAAATATTTATAAATTATATTTAAAGCCTTAAAATATATTTAGTTAGGCTTAGCCGCGAATCTAGTATAGGAAATTATAGAATATAAGATATCTAGCCTAGTAAATAAGGCTAAGTATAATAAAGATCCTATTTCTTTTTAAAATTATAATATATCTTTCTTAGAAGGTAATTCCTTTACTTTTATAAGCTTAAAGCTTACTATAGCGGGTAAATTTAAAGTTCCTAAACCTTCTTTATTAAATTCCTTTAATTTATTTAAGGTATAAATTTCTTAGGATATATATAGCTCTTTATTTTCTTAGTTTATTATAATATTTAGACCTAAGAAGTCTTTTATATCTCCTAAGATAGTAAAATCTAGGAATTTAGATAATTCTTTAAATAATCTTTCTTCTATTATAGATTTAGAGGGCCTTAATATAAGAAAGTCGTCGATGTAAATTACTAAGGCTATACTATAGTCCTTATTTATAAATACTCCTTTATTTATTAAAAGAGGAAGAAATCTAAGTTTATTTAGTATAATTTTTAAATAATTATACTAGAGCTTAGGACTTTAATTTCGGCTATATAATACTTTCTTTAGCTTTGCTTTAATTTAACCGGTTTTATATAGGTCTAGGAATTTAGTTAATTTAATTCCTTTAGCTCTATAAGCTAATCTATATTTTAAATAATATTCTTTAAGAGCGTATTCTTTATAGCTTATAGGAAGATCGATATATACTTTACTATCTATATCGGTATATATAAAGGCATTTATTATATCTATTTATAAAGCTTTAAATTTATAGATAATAGTTAAAATAAGTAGAAATTTAATAGATTTAGGTCTAGCTATAGTTAAGAAGGTATCTAGGAAATCTAAGCTATAGATCTACTTAAATACCTATATTACGAAACGGGTTTTATATTTTATTATATTATTTTAACTATCCTTCTTAATAGTATAGACCTAGTAGCCTCCTATAGCCTCCTTATCCCTAAGGAGGTAGGAAAACTCCTAAGCTTTATATTTAATTAGCTAAATAATTTCCTTAATTATAGCTTCTTTCTAAAATACTACTTTAGGGCTATTTACTACTTATTTATAGGTCTTTAGAATTTTTAGATCCTAATTTTCTATACTAGCTAGAATTAGCTCTATAAAATCGTAGTTTAGAAATAAATTAATATTAGGGTATTCGATATAGTTAGAATCGAACCCTTCTAGCTTCTTAAGTAATTCTACTACTATTTTACTAGTAGTAGGAATAGGATTATTATTTAAAGACTCTTCTTCTATAAAGGGCAAGGGACTTTTATCTCTAGGTTCTTTAATAGCTTCCTCTATAAGGATATAACTTTCTAGCTTATCTTTATTTAGAATAGAATTAAAATCAAAGGTATTATTACTACTTAAAATTTCTAGATTTTTTATAAATTTATTTTCTAGTATAATAATATCTCTAGAGATAGTAATCTTTCTCTTAGTAAAATCCTAGATTTTATATATATTTTCTAAATAGCCTACTATTATTCCCTTAAAAGCTCTATTATTTAGCTTATTTTTAAGGTCTTTATTCTTATAATATATAAGGCTTCTAAAGGTCTTAATTTTATTTAAGGTCTTAAAAGGTAGTATTATATTATCCCTCTTTTTTATAGGACTTTTAAATCCTATTATAGAATACGGTAATCTATTATATAAATAGGTAGCTATTAAAATAGCTTCTCCCTATAGATATTTAGGAAGCCTAGTAGTAAATAAAAGAGCTCGTACTTTTTTTAATATAGTACGATTTATTCTTTCTATTCTACTATTAGATTCCGGCGTCCTAGGAGGACTAGAATTAAAGGTAATTCCTTCTTTTTCGTAGTAAAGCTTTATTTTATATATAAATTCTTTAGCATTATTTAAAAATGCTTCTCTAATCCTAGTATTTTTAGGGTTATTTTCTACCCTATTTTTAAATTCTAGGAACCTATCTAGAGCTTCCCCCTTTTTTCGAAGAAAGTATATTTCTAGATATTAGGTTCCTATATCTAAGAAAGAAATATAGTCGTAATATTTATTATAAGTAGGTACTTTAATTAGCCCCTAAATATCTAATACTATTTTTTCTAAATAAGTATAAGACTTATATAAAGGTTATTTATTAACCTTATTTATTGCTTTAGCTCTAATATATATTTCGTATTATCTTATTTTATTTTCCTCTTTTAAATGTATTTTTATATCCTTATTATATCTTTTTAATATTTCTAAAATAGCCCTACTATTTATATACCTTAAGCGTAAGTGCTAAGTATAAAAATCTATATCCTTTGCCTTTAAAGATATAATAAGGATTAATTAGCTTTTTAATAAAGGTTTTATAGGAATATAATATAATTTATTTCTAAGAAATCCTTTAGTAAGGACCTTAGCCTTATTATCTAATAAAAGGACTTTATTTCCTCCTATTAAGGTATAGGTATTATTAAAATAAGATTAAGATAGTATATTTACCCTTAATTTAGGTTTATAAAAGCAGTCTCGAAGGATATACCTTTTACTACTATATAGGAACTTAAATACTAAGTCCCCCTTTCCTTTTACTAATATAAAGGAAGCTTTTCCCTAGTAAACTTTAGACTTAATTTCTTTATAGTTAATAAGGAAATTCTTATTCGATACTATATACCTAGTAGCTCCGGTATTATAAATAAAATTAAAGATCCTTTTATTCTTATAACTAGGAAATCCTCCTTCTCTTACCTTTAAAACTAATTCCTTTATTTTAGGAATCGAGGCTTTTAAAGGTCCTAAAAGAGAGTCTTTATTAGCTTCTACTATAGGGGTATTTATAGAGGTTAAAATTACCTCTAAATCCTTAGACGTTTATATAGGGGTCGGAGCCCTAGAAAGGTCTATAAGGTCGATATCTAGGTCTATATTTTCTTACGAAGCTATATTTAAGACCTTATTACTATCGTCCGAATAGGACTCTAGCTCTATAATTCGAGCCTTCCTTCTTTTATTAGTAGTAGAAATACTACTAAAAGGGGATTTCTTCCTAAAAGAAGAAGACAAAGAAGAAGATTTTCTCTTCTTAGAAATTCGAGTCCTATTATCCTTTTTTCCTTTATTTAAAACCTAATAAGTAGGAGCCTTATTCGGGTATAATTTATAGCAATTTACTATAAAATGCCCTAGTTTTAATACTATTTAAGAATAACGTTTTAACCTAAGATTACTATTTAGCCTTAATACTTATATCGCGTACTCTATATAGGTTAATTAACGCTATCGCTTATATCTAATAGGCGGCTATATCTTTTCCGTGATAGTTATAAGCCTAGGCGGAGGGGTTACCCCTCTAGGAACTTCCCGGTAACTATACACGTACTTCTTCTAGCTAGCCTAGCGCGTATTACCCGAAGGCCTATAGTTCGAGTCCCGCTAGCGCAATTAAGCGCGGTTTTAGTATAAGAACCTATTATCCCTCTATAAGAGTCTAGGTATCCTAGGATAAATTAACCTAGCATCCCTAAGGGGGTATATCGCGTACTCTATATACGTTAATTAACGCTATCGCTTATATCTAATAGGCAGCTATATCTTTTTTATAATAACTTTATAAAGGATTACTAATACTTAAAAGCAATCTAAGGATAGGATTACTAGTTATATAAGATAATTTATAAAGGACTATAAAGTATATAAGGATATATAATTTTATTTATTAAAACTAAATAGCTTAATAGCCTTTAATACTATCTTTATTATAATTCTATCTTTATTTTTAATTACTAAGTTATAGTTTATAGTCTATAACCTTTAACTTACTACTTATATAATACCCTTATTATTACTTAGAGTACGCTTTATTATATCTATTAATATAAACCCTTTAATAGGTTTATCCCTTAAGAATAATACTAGTTATTATACTTATATTTATTTAAATTATATACTCCTTTACTTATTACCTTACTACTTAAATAGCTATAATAGTAAAAGGGTATATTAAGAGAAGTAACTATTAAAAGCTAAAGTTATACTTAGTAAACTTAATATTTATATATAAAGAGTTTATTTAACTAATATAATAGTCTTAGCTTAAGGATATAATATTAACTTAACTTAAGTAAAGGAATATTTAAATACTATCTTATAGCTAGCTATTTATAGTTACTATACCTATATAAGCCCTTTTCTTAATAAATAAGCTAAGATATATATTACTAAATTTACCTTTCTAAGCCCTTATTTCCTTTACTATAATCTTAAGCTACTACTTAAGACTAATATTATTTTCCGGTTATCGTGCTAAAGTTCTTTCTTTATATACCGGGTTTTCTTCCTTTCTTATTATCTAGCATCTTTTACCTACCGCTTTTGCTCCGTTTCTGCCTCTCGCTGCCTCCTCTTCTCTAAAGAGACGTTCCTATAGGATACCCGACGCCTGTATAAACCTACTGCATCATGCAACGTATATAGCCCACTTCGATCGCCGACCCAATGCATGGTAAGCATAATCAAAACAACTCGAATAATTATACTATACCGCAACCCTGTATCCTATATAGCGTAACCCTTTCGAGATAAATATACCATGCAATCGATATTAGTATCCGCAGTAACACGACCATCTCGGTTAGGACCCGAGTCATGGCCTAGACACCTCCATTATGCTGTAACGAAGTTATGACGGCGGATCGCAATTACTATATCTCTATAAATACTCAGAGTTCACCGGCGTCTTTATCGGCTTGTTAAGACACACTCATTCTCACTTGTCTAGCCAACCAATACCACCCTTTACTTTTACGGTCAGTCTTTACTCTACCAGCAATCGAAAATGAAGTCAGCCATTGTTCTCGCCAGCACCGCCGTTCCGGTCGGTGCCTTGCCCCAGACCAAGCACGCCGCCGGCCAGAAGCTTCCTTGGACTGAGGGAGAAGGTCTCGATTGTCACTTTGGGGGGTTCTCGGAGTCATGCGTCGGCACCGAAATCTGGTGCAACATAGCCGATTATCGAATCAAAGGAGGTTTCAAGACCGCCGAAGAATGCTTCGCCACACGGGAGGCCAAGCCCGGCTCGACGGAGGGGGTTTGCGCCACCTTGAAGCCACCCAAGCCTGCTCCCGGCCAGACCGGAACTCCCGCAGAGACTCCAGAACAAAAGCCAGACTTCGAAAATAGCGAAGCATTCCGACGGTGCAATGGTTATATTCCAGATAACCCATGTATTCGAGAACTCTTCTATCTACAAGGATCCGTCAATAGATTCCGTTTAAATTGTCTTTCTGGCGACCTCGCCGGGGATCAAGTCCATCGGATTAACTTAGCCTATTACTCGAAGGATCTTTTCCCTGACGGGCCAAAGTGCGGAGCCGTCCAAGGCCGACTTGTCCACCTCACGCCAAAGGAGTATAAGCCGGTCTGCGACAAATGTATTAAGCCGCACACCTAGTTTCTATAGAGAATCACTAAAGTCGCCGGGCAAAAGGAGTGCCAGGGTCAATGGCTTGTCCTGTAGAGTTTGGGACCCGTCGTGTCTAATGTCTCCAGAGTACCAGAATTCAATTTAAACCATCTTATAGTGACCTTTATTACCAGCCGTTAACGTGCCCGCTCACGGAACCGTACGTTAAAAGGAGAACTTGGTCTCTTTAGTGGTTGGGAGCACTTAGAAGCAGGTAGCATGTGCATCGTTCTCCCTACATAGGAATACGGGAGTAAATAAATACATCCGTTTTATAGGGCCGTGCGACGTCTCGCTTATTATATTTAGCTATAACTACTGCTCTACCTTATTACTATCCTATAAGTAGCCTAAGGGACTAAGGAAAATACTGGTTTTTTTATATTATTATTTATATATAGCCTCTAGGGCTATAGTAAGGCTAGGAGGGGCCTAGGCCCTTATTAGTAGTCCTAGCTAGCTATAGAGCCTAGGCGCTTATAACTAATTAAGGAAAGGGTAGCTATAAAGGCAATAATAAAGGAAAGGTTAGTCTAGTTCCTCCTACGCGGTATTCTTCCCTCCTAAGGGCCCTAGGGCCCCTAGGTTACTCCTTTTCGAGCTACTTAGCTATCCCTATCTCTATTTTAGCTAAGAAGGTTAAAAGGGCTTCCCTTCCTTCCTTAGAGTTATAGAGAATAGGTAGGCTTAGGACCTCCTTCCGTCTCTTAGAGGTCTAGTAAAGGACCTCTCTTTCCCTCCTATAGTTTAGGCACCTTATCCTAAGGAGCCTAGCTATATACCTTCCTTAGCTATACTAGTAGTTATCTCGGTCTACCTTATTAGTCCTTTTTAGGAAGGAAAATAGGAAGCTAGCCCTAAAAAGGAGCTAGTAAAAGGCTAAGAGGGTCGGCCTAGGCCTCTATATAAGATCCTTTTCTAGGCTAAGGGCTAGGCAGGGGGTCTTTTAAATAAATATATAGTACTTACCTAGGCCTTTAGCCCTAAGGCCTTTAGCTACCTTAGTAGCTTAAAGGTCCTTTTAATAGTCCTTAGTAGCTTACTAGACCTTTCTTTATAAGTAGCTAATAAAGACTATAAAGGTCCCTTAGGTAAGAGCCCCTAAGCCTCTCTTAGCTAGCTAGTTAGCTAGCTCGTTATTAAAGATCCTTAGGTAGCTAGGGTATATTAGTATAGCTATTTATTAAGGCTTCTAAGCTAAATAGGAGCCTTTTAATATATATAGCTAAGTTTAAGAAACCTATAACCTTCCTTATAGCGGCTTAGCTATTTATAAAGATATAGGCTTTTATAAGATAGTTAAGAGGGCTAAGCTTTAAGGGCTAAGGCCTCTTAGCTAGGTCCTTTAAGACCCTTAGTATTATAAATAGCCTTATATTAGCTACTTCGATTAAGGGCCTAAGGGTCTTATAGTTTGCTTTAATAGGCTTATTTTCTAAGCTTAATTTATAGAAAAAGTAAGCGTTAGTCTTTATAAGGGACCCCTTAAGGTACCTTTTAAAGCTATTAATATAAAAGGTTAAGGGCTATAACCTAAAGTCTTCTAGGCTAGCTAGGCTAGCTAAGAGGCGTTAGTACTACTTCTTAGCTAAGGACTTAAGGGCCTTTATTATTATAATAAAAGCCTTAAGCTCTAAGGCCTATAAGGGCTCCTAGCTAGCTTTCTTTCTTTCTAAGTTATAATTAAGTCTTATAATAGCTACTAAGTATTTAAGGAAGTAAAAGAGCTATATATAGGGCTTAATAAAGCTTAGGGTCCTTAAGTTAAAGCTTAAGTTAGTAAGGTTATCCTATATAGCTAGGTTATAAGCTTACTTTATAGGGTAACTAAGTAAGAAGTATAAAGACTAAAAAGTATAAGAGAGGTATACCTTTTTAAATTATACCTTTAGTAGCGGTAGGGCTACTTTAGCTTTTAAAGCCTTAATAGGGGATCCTTTAAAGGCCCTTAAGACCTTTAAAAGAGCTTAGTTTTAAAGCCTTTAAAAAGGCTTTATAAGGCTCTTAGGGGTCTTAGGCCCCCTATACTAAAGCTAGGCCCTATAGTTTACTATAAAGGTTATATAGGCTTAGTAAAGCTACTTAAAAGCTTTAAATAATAAGCCTTTTTATATAAAGGTTAAGTAAGATAGTTCTTTAAAGGTAGCTTATATAAAGGCTACCTTCTTCTTAATATATTATTTAAATAAGAGCTTAGAATTAAAGAAGACCCTTAGTTACTATACTAAGGGCTTTACTTAGAATAATAAGCCTCTTACTATTATACCCTTAAAAATAAGCTACCTTTACTTACTAAAGTAAATAAGTTTTATCTTTAAGGGGTTAAAGTAGACCCCTTAGTCCTTAGCTTATTTAAATAGGTTAGTAGCTATTACTCTCGCGTAGAGAGATTTAAGAAGTATATAAAAATATTTGAAGGTAAAATTAAAAGTAAAGGGTTTAATAAGTAAAGTAAAGACATTTAATTCTTATAGGAGTAGTAATAAAGGTAGGGGAGTAATTATTATATTACGTTAATTATCCTTCTTTCCTCTATCTATTACGAAGTATAGCTTAATTTCGTAGTTCTTAGAGATATCCCTTAGTAAGAGGGACTAAGGAAGCTAAAAACACCTAGTATAGAAAAAGGAAGAAGGAGCTAAAAAGAGGTATAAAAAGGAGGGTAGGGGTATAAGGGGAAGTAGAAGTAGCGATAGCTTCCTATAAAGGTAGCGAAAGATAAGACGGATATACTAGTAACGGCTAGAAAGGAGGGGAAAAACTAGTAAAAAGCTCGGTAGTTAAAAGGATATTAATAGCTTCTTTAAGTAGGATCTTCTTTATTAATTAAGATACTAGACAGGTATAAGGAGGGGCATTAGATAGAGGAAAGAAGGATAATTAAGGCAATATAATAATTACTTACCTACCTTTATTACTACTCTTATAAGAATTAAATCCCTCTGCCCTGCCTATCCGACCCCTTACTTTTAATTTTACCTTTATATATTTTATATATACTTCTCGTATCTCTCTTTGCGAGAGTTATAAGCCTAGGAGGAATAAAATTCCTATACCTTCCGGCTACTATAAAAGGCACCTTTCTTATATCCCTTATAGCTTCCTTTTACCCCTCTTACTAGAAAAGCCGATTTTTACCTAACTTTTCTACCCTTCCTTATAATAATATCGAAAAATAACTCTACCGCCCCTACGGTCTATAGGACGATTCTTATAGAGCCTTAAGATTAAGATAAGTAGGTAAAGGAGCTATAGGCTTATATAGATAGAACTATCTATAATTTAGTCTTCTTTAATAAGTAGGACCCTCTTAAGCCCCCTCTTTATCCTAGGGCAACGGAATTTATAGAAGGAGCTTCCCTCTTTTCCGAGCTAACCTTTATATAATAGAGAGCTTTTTCTACTACCTAAGGTAACTACGAGAGTTACTATAAGGAATACCTTTACGAGATAAAGCTACTAACTACTATATATATAGTAATAATAGAATCCGTTAGTACTATAAAGCTAATCTCTCTTTAAGAGGAAGAGACTCTTAGGTAGTAGCTTTAAAGCTCGAGACCTTAATAGCTCCCTCGAGGGGCTATATAACTAACCGTATTAGGAAGACCTATACGGTATACCTAGGAGCCTTTTCTACTAGGAACCTACTAGCTTCGTCGTAGCTAGCTAAGTAAGAAGAAATCCTTAAGGAAGCTAACTAATACTTCCTTATAGAAGCTCTTTCCGGCTAGTAGCTATAGGATATATCTCTACTAATAAAGCCTATTAGTAACGGTTACTTAACTATCTTTTAAGAAGCTAGCTAGGAACTAAATAAAGAGGCTACTAGAGCATAATAGTAAGTAGTCTTATTCCTTTATAGCTAGCACTCGACCTAAATAGCTTTACCTACTGCCCTTATAGCTATAGCAGCCCTTATTACTACGGCCCCCGCTACTACTACTACGGCTATTGCTCCTTTAGCTCTACCTCCCTTAAGAGTATTAATACTATCTTTAACGGCTGCCCTAGGCCCGGTTCCGCCTCTTACTCTAGGCCCGGCCCCGGTCCTATTAGTTAGACCGGCCCGACTAGTCCCCTAATAGACCTTTTAGTCTATTAATCGAAAAATTAAGGAACTAGTTAAAATCGAACCTCTTTATTAAAATTAGTAATAAAGGGCAAAAAGGGGGTGTTTTTAAGCAGACCTTTTAGAAAGGGATAAGGATTCCTCGAAGAGATAACGTATAAGGAGGAATCGACCTACCTACTAAGTATATAAAAAGCCCTATCGGCTAAAAGACTACTAATAGGTCTTTAAGGAAAACCGACCTAAAGGAGTTAACCCTTTAAAGAGGCTATAAGAAATAGTATAATAGTCTTTTAAGGAGGACCCCTCGTTATAGAAGAAGATAGACGAGATTCGGGTTACTAGGAAATAGTAACTAACGCCGTTACTATAAATTCGAGGAAAAATCGTTAGTATAGTAAATCCGGCCTTTATCTTTCCTATAGATTAATAAGGCTAAGACTAACCGTTAGAGCCCTCCGATTATCCCCTACGAAAATCAGCTATCCTTAACTTTAGTACTTCCCTTAATATCTATAATATACTCCTATAATTCCGGTCCTTTAAAAAGGTATAGAGGGAATATCTTATTACTAAGGAATTAACCGTATAGATAAAGGGATATAGAAGGGTAAATTTTATAATAAAATTACTTAATAGGTCTATATAAATTCTTCGAAGAAAAAGGGTAGCTTTTTACCCTTAATTTTTAATAAGCTTAATTTCCTTCCGCCTTCTTTAAAAGGAAGGAATCTTTTAGGATACGACGTTTAAGCTTACGAGGCTAGTCTAGAAAAATCACACTATTAGGCTTATCGAGGAAAAATTTAGTTAATTTATTCTCGAATTCTAACCTATTTATAGGAAGGAACTACTTAAGAAGTTAGCTTTCCTTACTAGGAGGAATAGGTCTACTATAAAGGACCCTCTTCCGGCA